CGCTCATTTGATTGCATTCTGGACAATGGTTACGTTTTCTAGCGTACTGAATTGCCAAAACGTCATTGTTTATTGCTTTCATTAACATGGAGTGGAAAATGAGATGATAGAAAATGGTTCATTGTTAAAATTTGGGTCGGCTCCATTTTTCCCTGTCCCTGTGACAAGTGACATCTATGATTGTAAAATTCCAATGCATTTTTTCTTGTAGTCGTCATCCAAGAGTGATCATGATTGGCAAACTACCTACCCAACAAATACAAAATATCTTTTGAAGTCATTCTTAATGATACTTTAATGGCAAATTACAAAGAACCAAGGTAACAGGGACAGGAAAAATGTCACCTTTGGACCCTAAATTTGTATAATAATAATCACCTTAATGAAAATAAAGAACCATGAGTTATCGTGAAGGAGAATACACCGCGATAACCCGCGTATGATGGACGGGAATAACATACTCAGCCTCTGTGCATGTTAATATTAACAGAGATCTTCCATCGCTAGTTATGTTCATTGGGGTCACTGTCTTGATTGCAATATATTTATGATGATCTGTTTGGAAGACATAACTGCCGTTCGTTCTAATAGTTCACAGCAAGACTTGTTTATCTGGAATATGAACATTTCATTGAAGAGTATTTTATTCTCAAATTGCATTAGAACGCAGGAGAAAGCATCGTAGATTTCCGAATTTTCCGGGGAAGGGGCATACCCCGGACCTCCTAGCGCGGCGTGCCTTTATCCCCCGGCACTCCCCCCTTCATATACCCCCCCCCCCCGTTTCCTGATAGCTAGATCCGCCCTTGGAATCACCTTTTGAATGTGATATACATGCAGTATTAACAGAGCTTCCTAAACGTCAATCACCAGGTTAATGTTCGATACATTTTTGTCTGAGGGCACTGACGTATACTTTCATCAAAACAGAATGCAATACCTCAAGCTCTGTGTCTCAACTTGAAGTGTTTTCAAAGGCCTCAAGTAAGGCTAGACCTCCAACGCTGCAAGCTCAAATTTCGAAATGGTTTCTTGCCTTTCGGATTTAATTGTTACGATTTCAGAGGCTATTCCCCGTTATGCCTCTGTCTGATGACGTTTTTGAGACGCAGTTAGGTGATAAAATGAGCAAATGAGCAATTTTAATTTCCCCCTGAAGCACTCTGTTTTGGAAACCACTTGTTTTTCGTGTCGTCTGTCAGACGCCATCCAAACACAGAAATATTACTTTGTGTTGTTCCTACAGTCTCAATTTCCAACTTGACATTCGAAACTCGTACCGAAAGATATGCGATGAAAACCACCTGTGATTTCTGTTTGATATTCATTGAGGGCGCACTTCACATGGAACCTTAAGACATATCCTCTCATATAAGTAGTCATCGTCGCTAACGGCAGAATAGATTTGCAAAACAATCACATTTTGATAATTGCGACCAAAAACATCCCAAAACGGCTTTCATTAGTGAACTTAACTTCTACAAGAAGTGTACTGCATTGTGTCAATTGCTTTTAAATGTTTCAAAGGTTAATCTTGAAAATATTGAAATATGCTTCTATTTCACTATCCTAAAGTTACCAATGATGAAGTACTCGTACTCGTACTGGAGTACTATATTTGGTAATCGTACTCGTACTCGTAGGCCCTACTCATGAAAATTTACTCTTACTCGTACTTGCAAAAATATATTAACCGTTCTCCTACTTGTACTCGTACTCATAAGTACTCGTACTCGTACTCTTGTGAATGTTCTCCCGCACGAATTAAAAAAACTGAATTAAGAGCTAAATGCAGGAACAGAACCAATTTTCTATTGTTTGCGAGGCTTCAGCATTTGTTTAACGCATAGTAGAAAACAAAGCACAAGACGCATTGAAATTTGCTTGTGGAAAGTACTCGATCATACTTGTACTCGTACTCGCACTCCAGTACGTTTTGTGGTACTCATACTTGTGCTCGTATTCACAGAAACCATTGCCTTATACTCGTACTCGTACTCGTACTCGTACTTATAGGCCTACTCATGCAAGTGTGCTTTGACCACTGTCCTCAACTGTTTCAAGAAATAAACATGAAGAGTAATTCAATAACGTACTCACTACTCAGCCTTTTTATTGATAGGATTATGCATAATAATGTCAAACGTCAGAAAGGCTGTAGCCTTGGGTATCACAAAACTAAAGATAAACTGGGTTAAACGACAGGAATTTACGAACTTACCAACCAATTTTACCTATGATCCTTTTATTGAAGACGTTATCTGAGAGTTTTTGCTAAATGGTTCTTATTCCTCCATGGTCTACCTAGTCTGGGCCACCCTATCCGTAACCAACGTGTGATATATGTGGGCAATACAAATTCCGTACGACCTCGCACCCCAGCCAATCGGATCGACTTTAGAAATTGTGATGTCATATCGATCAGAAATGTGGACTAAGCTTTTGATTGGTCAGTTTGGCTGACTGTTTTGGTAATACAAGAACGGTTTACGGAAGACCAGATGGAAGGCAACCGATGAATGGTCAGGTCAAGAAGCAGTCTTATTTTGCATAATTAATCACTGAATTTGTTCGAATATCATAGACCCTTGCTGTGCAAGGGGATACTCCATAGACCAGGTTTACCACGTCTGTGTTTAGACTGTTCAAATTCGTGGAAAGATGGCGATTCCAATTACGTTGACATTGAAGTGACGGCTGAAATACAAGACGAGTTCGTCTCTTGACCTGGCCCAGTTCCCTCCAAAAACAGGTGCAACAACCTTGTGGTAAACGGCCGTAGCTTATTTGCTCTGGCCACTTGTTATCGCGTCGAGCTGGAAAAAGGCGCGAGCCGCGTCGAGGACCGGCGTGAGAGTAAATCGATTCGATTACCTGTCAGGCGAAAGTGCCGCGTTATTAAATCCGAAGCCGCGGAGTCGATTCTCGAACGAACTGTACCAGGAAGCCACCCTCAAGACGCCCTCTATTGACACTCAATCTTGTGAACGACATGTAAATTTGCGGGGTTTTAGTCCTTGACATTTATAGCAAGATTACAAACGGATAATTGAATAGATTGTACCGCGGATAAGGGAACAAAAAAATGCACTGAAGACCTAAAGACCAATTATATTTGATATGCTCGTTACTTTTGTGCAAAGTTAAAACAAAACGCACAACGATGGATTTACAGGAAAACAAAAAGTCTTTGAAAATTAAAGTCAACTTATTGATGAAGCAAGAGGAACAAAAACAACACAACAGGTCGTTCAGTTATCGTACTGACAACAAGTGTGTTGTTTTTGTTCAATTACAGTTGACTTTAAATTGGATTGTTTTTTTTCGAGCTCAAAACAATCAATTATTTGGCAATATTAACTTATTTTTTTGGTCAATTCTTGTTGAAATTCACCTGCTCATATAAAACGTCACGACTTATATCAATAGACGAACAGTTTAATGCAACAGACGGTTCGAGTGTGTTGTTTATGTTGATTAAATTTTGCCATATAGCAACGGGTACCGTGAATATGAATAGATGACTTAAGCTCGGACTTGTGCATTTGTAGCACTGAACACACTGGGTCGTTCGGGCCATATTATTTCAATTGTTTGACCATTTCTCTTGACATTCAAAAGTTTTGTGTTATTAGATCATGTGAAATCACCAGATAAATTTCAGATCGATACATCAAGTATTTTTAGAGTTCTCATGTGGAAAACGAGTATGTTGTTTTGTTCCATGAAAATTGACTTTCGTTCGGACTGGTGTACTTTTCGCACTGAACGCACTGGGTTGTTCGGACTAGGGCCTATGATATTTCAATTGTTTGACCATATCTTTGACATTCAACATAATTGTGTTATTATATCATGTTAAATCACCAGATGTTAATACCGTTCGATACATCGGGTATTTCTAGAGTTATCGTATTCAAAAAGAGTACATATATGTTGTTTTTGTTCCATAAAGGTTTACTTAATTCGTTTGGACTAGTGTATAAAAACAAAAATAAAAATACCCTCTTTGTGGGGACGATAACTCAAGAAATATGTGTGTGTATTAAATTGAAATTTCTTTAATCGATTGGTTGTGATATGCAACGCAAGCCTAGAGAAGATTCAACAGTAAAGTTAACACATGTATAACTAAGTCAATTGAGTGCGTTCGGCGAGAAAAATACAATCCGAATGAAAATCTACTTTAATGAAACAAAAACAACAAACTCTTTGTGGAGACAATAACTCAAGAAATATCGGTTGTATTTAATTGAAATGTCATCTGGTGATTAGTATTGAAGTCTTACGGAAGTGTATTAAATTTCAAGAGGAATAATCAAACAATAAAGTAAATATAACATATTCAATTCAACGTGTTCAGCGCGAAGCGGAAAATACAATCCGAATCGAAGTCTACTTGAAGGAAACAAAACAATACACTCTTTGTGGAGACAATAACTCAAGAAATATCCGTTGTATTTAATTGAAATTTCATCTGGTGATTAGTATTGAAGTCTCAAGGGAGTGTATTAAATTTCAAGAGGAATAATCAAACAATAAAGTAAATATAACAGAAATAATTCAACGTGTTCAGCGCGAAAAATACAATCCGAATGAAAATCTACTTTAATGAAACAAAAACCAACATACTCGTTGTGGAGACAATAAATCAAGAAATATCCGTTGCATTACATTGAAATGTCATCTGTTGATTAGTCGTTAAGCTATACAGAAGCTTTATAAATTTCAAGAAGAACGATCAAACAGTAAAATTATTACAACCAAAACAATTGAGAGTGTTCAGCGCGAAATATACAAACCGAATTAAAATCAGCTGTAATGTAACAAAAACAACACACTGTTCTTGGGGACAATAACTCAAGAAATATTCTTGGTATTTAATTGAAATGTCATCTGGTAATTGGTCGTGAAGTCGCACCGAAGTTGAGGAAATATCGAGAGGAATAACAATCTGAATTAAAAGACAGGCTTTGTTTTGTTTACCACCTTGCAGTTTTTAAGTTCATCTGAAGACACCGGGGAAGAGGTTCTGCTGTTTTTAATGGCTTTCGAAGTTCTACAGAGGAAAGGATAGTCTAGTTTGCTTTGGAATCACATATTTCGACATCAAGCGCCTTTGGAAAATTAGACGAACAATTCGAGAGAAAATGGCGCTGCCCAAAGGTTCTCCATTCTCAACTTATGCACCTTCGGCAAGTGACAGGTTGGATCCAACCCCGTCATCGGAAGACAGCAATGTCACTTATGGACTTATCACCAACTCGACTCCAGCCCCGACGGTCTGGTACCCCAAGCGAGACGAGCAGCTTGCCACTGGCGAGATTCTCATCTCGGCATCCATCTGCTTCATGGCGATCCTCGGGAACTCCATTGTGATCGCGGTCCTGTGGCGTCGACGCAAGAGTCTCTCCCGTATGCATTATTTCATTATCCATCTCTGTATCGCCGATCTGACCGTGGCGTTTTTCCACACCTTTCCGCAAATGATCTGGGATATCACTTATAAGTTTAACGCCCCGGATGCCATCTGCAGGCTTGTCAAGTTCTTCCAGTTGTTCCCAGTCTACCTGTCCACTTACATCCTCGTCATGACGGCTATAGACAGGTACCTGGCTATTTGTCACCCGTTGATGGGGTTGCGTGGCAACAACAACAAGCGCATGCGCCTGATGGTCATCACCGCGTGGATCATATCGGCCGTGTGCAGCATGCCGCAGTTGTGGTTCTTCAAGTTGAAGAATCGCACCCGTGGGCCAGGGGCGGTCTGGATGGACTGTCGCGCTAACTTCCCCAGTGTCAGTGTCGTCACTGCTTACGTGACCTTCTTCACCATGGCAATCTACGTCATCCCAAGTCTCATCCTAGCCGGAATGTACGGGATGATCTGCCTGACCGTCTGGAAGAACATGGACAAGCAGTACAAGTCCCCAGGCAAGAAGCTCACATCGGTGTCGCAGAAGGACAACAACAATTGGGAAGACGACGAGACGGACAAACTCAATCCAGAACACGTGGAGCTGCAGCAGACGAACGCCGCCAAGAGGGAGAACGAGGCCAACCAAAAGCCGCAGATGCTGTACCGGCGCCACGGCGCGGCGGGCAAAGTTTCGCGCGCAAAGATCAAGACTGTCAAGATGACGTTGACGATCGTGACAGTGTATGTGGTCACATGGGCACCTTTCTTCATTGCACAGATGCTGTCTGTATGGGCCCCATGGCTTAACTTTGAAGGCAAGTAGACACAAATTTAATTGTATAAAAACATGCCAATACATACAATTTTTCTTAAACCAATTGCAGATGTAGAAGGGGACTTCCTTGATTTTGTCCTAGAAACGCTGAACAGCGCCACCACTTGCTAGAAAACGTGGAGAAATTAGTTTTGAATTCATTTCACAATTGAAAGGTGGCATTCCTCTGCCTACCCTGCCATGAAATCAAACATGATTCCAAACATCAAAAGGAGGCCTGAAATATAATGTGGCTCCAAACGTTATGTATGGAATCTGGGCAACTTCAAATGTAAATTTCCAGACCTAAGTCACAGAAGAGCATCCTCAGATATGACACGCCACCAAAACTGATATGGTAAAGCACCCAAATTCAAGTCAAAAAGGGAGCTCATTAAAGTTTAATATTGACCTCCAGATTTTTTGACTGTGAGGTCGCCCTTGAGCCTAAAGAGGCATTCAGACTTTCCCGAGAGGTCATTTGATATATGTACTATTTTTAAAACTAAGGCCAAACACTTGTCTGTTTGTTTGTTTGTTTGTAAGTAAAAATATGAACATTGTTCTTTTTTCTTTTCTTTTTAAAATTACAGCACTCTTCTTCACCATTTCTTTGCTGCTAATCAGTCTCACAAGTTGCGTCAATCCGTGGATATACTTCGCGTTCTCAAGCAACGCCATCCGGGACATCCAACAGGCATTCGGCTGTTCCAATCTCTTCCGGAGGGAGAACGGTCTGGCTTCGGACCGGACTCACCACGATGACACGTCCAGTCGCTACGTGTCAACCACCGGCACAGCGGCTGCCTCGATGTAGACAGGGGTCATCAATTGAGGGCGGCATTGGGGCGAGACAACCCATTCATCATTTGTGTCGGCGAAGGTGTCGTTCCAATTGTGTCGCTCTTGTCTGTTAAAAGACAACTGCCGACAGGAAAGGTCGTATTTAACAGCGCCACCTTGTGTCAGATAGCATCAAGTCCCATTCATCTTGTGTATAGCGCCACCTGGTGGTAGATGATGGATAGCCAACGGTTTTTCGAATGTCCGGCCGTTCGTAATTTTAAGAAAAACATTTCTGGTGACGTTTCTGCCCATCATGGTCATTGATAAAATAAACCGTTGGCTAGACGCCAAAAATACACATTGATTTAGTCTGGCGACGCGTCGCCCGTCCATGTGCGACAATGAGAGCAGCAACTACACTACACCTGCAGCAAAGGTGCAACGAGGTGGCACATAAAGGTGTCCCAGGTGCAGGTGCTGACCTTTGCAGTGTTTGACTCAGTGTATAGGCGTTACCATTGAGCACCGAGGCAAGTCTCGAATTAGGTGATGTGTCTCTAAGGCAAAACAAAAAAGAAAGATTCTTTTCGCCCAAATCTTCGCAATTATAGCTTTCTCAATATTGAATTATACTCCCCTTCCATCAAGAGTAATTTCTGCGAAGTTTGAAGAAAGGTCAATTTTTGGCCAAATTTGATCAAGGTTAACCCCCTTGCATTTTTTTTCAATTTGGCCAAAAAATGAAATTGCTCCAAACTTTCTGGAAAGATGCCCAAGGGACTCTAGAACGCATTTCATCTGGATTTCTGGCGAAAATTACCTTTGAAAATAAATAATGCGTCAATATTCTGGAGCAAATTGAGGCAAAACTATTAATGTTTTCATAAAAAAAAAATTCTTTTTGCCCAAATCTTCGCAATTATAGCTTTCTCAATATTGAATGATACTCGCCTTCCATCAAGAGTCATTTCTGCGAAGTTTGAGGAAAAGTAATTTTTTGGCCAAATTTGATCAAAAAAGTAAGGTTAACCCCTTGCAATTTTTTCAATTTTGGCCAAAAAATGAAATTGCTCCAAACTTTCTGGAAAGATGCCCAAGGGACCCTAGAACGCATTTCAATCGGATTTCTGGCGAAAATTGCCTTTGAAAATAACTAATGCGTCAATAATTTGGAGCAAAATGAGGCAAACCTATTTGTGTTTTCATAAAAAAGGTTTCTTTTTGCCCAAATCTTCGCAATTATAGCTTTCTCAATATTAAATGTTACTCCCCTTCCATCAAGAGTCATTTCTGCGAAGTTTGAAGAATAGTAATGTTTTGCCAAATTTGATCAAAAAAGTAAGGTTAACCCCTTGCATATTTTTTCAATTTTGGCCAAAAAAGGAAATTGCTCCAAACTTTCTGGAAAGATGCCCAAGGGACCCTAGAACGCATTTCATCTAAATTTCTGGCGAAAATTGCCTTTGAAAATAAATAATGCGTCAATATTCTGGAGCAAATTGAGGCAAAATTATAAATGTTTTCATAAAAATAGGATTCTTTTTGCTGAAATCTTCGCAATTATAGCTTTCTCAATATTGAATTATACTCCCCTTCCATCAAGAGTCATTTCTGCAAAGTTTGAAGAAAGGTCAATTTTTGGGCAAATTTGATCAAAAAAGTAAGGTTAACCCCTTGCAATTTTTTAAATTTTGGCCAAAAAATGAAATTGTCCAAACTTTCTGGAAAGATGCCCAAGGGACTCTAGAACGCATTTTATCTGGATTTCTGGCGAAAATTGCCTTTGAAAATAAATAATGCGTCAATATTCTGGAGCAAATTGAGGCAAAATTATTACTGTTTTCATAAAAAAAAGGATTTTTTGGCCGAAATCTTCGCAATTATAGCTTTCTCAATATTAAATGATACTCCCCTTCCATCAAGAGTCATTTTTGCGAAGTTTGAAGAAAACTATTTTTTTGGCCAAATTTGATCAAAAAAGTAAGGTTAACCCCTTGCAATTTTTTCAATTTTGGCCAAAAAATGAAATTGCTCGAAACTTTCTGGAAAGATGCCCAAGGGACCCTAGAACGCATTTCAATCGGATTTCTGGCGAAAATTGCCTTTGAAAATAAATAGTGCGTCAATATTTTGGAGCAAAATCAGTCAAAACTATTTGTGTTTTCATAAAAAAAGGATTCTTTTTGCCCAAATCTTCGCAATTATTGCTTTCTCAATATTAAATGATACTCCCCTTCCATCAAGAGTCATTTTTGCGAAGTTTGAGGAAAAGTATTTTTTTGGCCAAATTTGATCAAAAAAGTAAGGTTTACCCCTTGCATTTTTTTTCAATTTTGGCCAAAAAATGAAATTGCTCCAAACTTTCTGGAAAGATGCCCAAGGAACCCAAGAACGCATTTCAATCGTATTCCTGGCGAAAATATTGCATTTGAAAATAAATAATGCGTCAATATTTTGGAGAAAAATGAGGCAAAACTATTTATGTTTTCATAAAAAAAGGATTCTTTTTGCCCAAATCTTCGCAATTATAGCTTTCTCAATATTAAATGATACTCCCCTTCCATCAAGAGTCATTTCTGCGAAGTTTGAAGAAAACAATTTTTTTGCCAAATTTGATCAAAAAAGTAAGGTTAACCCCTTGCAATTTTTTTAATTTTGGCCAAAAAATGAAATTGCTCCAAACTTTCTGGAAAGATGCCCAAGGGACCCTAGAACGCATTTCAATCGGATTTCTGGCGAAAATTGCCTTTGAAAATAACTAATGCGTCAATATTTTGGAGCAAAATGAGGCAAAACTGGTAGTGTTTTCATAAAAAAATGATTCTTTTTGCCGAAATCTTCGCAATTATAGCTTTCTCAATATTAAATGATACTCCCCTTCCATCAAGAGTCATTTCTGCGAAGTTTGAGGAAAAGTAATTTTTTGGCCAAATTTGATCAAAAAAGTAAGGTTTATCCCTTGCATTTTTTTTCAATTTTGGCCAAAAAATGAAATTGCTCCAAACTTTCTGGAAAGATGCCCAAGGAACCCTAGATCGCATTTCAATCGTATTCCTGGCGAAAATATTGCATTTGAAAATAAATAGTGCGTCAATATTTTGGAGAAAAATGAGGCAAAACTATTTATGTTTTCATAAAAAAAAAATTCTTTTTGCCCAAATCTTCGCAATTATAGCTTTCTCAATATTAAATGATACTCCCCTTCCATCAAGAGTCATTTCTGCGAAGTTTGAAGAAAAGTAATTTTTTGCCAAATTTGATCAAAAAAGTAAGGTTAACCCCTTGCAATTTTTTCAATTTTGGCCAAAAAATGAAATTGCTCCAAACTTTCTGGAAAGATGCCCAAGGGACCCTAGAACGCATTTCAATCGGATTTCTGGCGAAAATTGCCTTTGAAAATAACTAATGCGTCAATATTTTGAAGCAAAATGAGGCAAAACTGGTAGTGTTTTCATAAAAAAAGATTCTTTTTGCCGAAATCTTAGCAATTATAGCTTTCTCAATATTAAATGATACTCCCCTTCCATCAAGAGTCATTTCTGCGAAGTTTGAGGAAAAGTAATTTTTTGGCCAAATTTGATCAAAAAAGTAAGGTTTATCCCTTGCATTTTTTTTCCATTTTGGCCAAAAAATGAAATTGCTCGAAACTTTCTGGAAAGATGCCTAAGGAACCCTAGAACGCATTTCAATCGTATTCCTGGCGAAAATATTGTATTTGAAAAGAAATAATGCGTCAATATTTTGGAGCAAAATGAGGCAAAACTATTTATGTTTTCATAAAAAAAGGATTCTTTTTGCCCAAATCTTCGCAATTATAGCTTTCTCAATATTGAATGATACTCCCCTTCCTTCAAGAGTCATTTCTGCGAAGTTTGAGGAAAAGTCATTTTTTGCCAAATTTGATCAAAAAAGTAAGGTTAACCCCTTGCATTTTTTTTAATTTTGGCCAAAAAATGAAATTGCTCCAAACTTTCTGGAAAGATGCCAAAGGGACCCTAGAACGCATTTCAATCAGATTTCTGGCGAAAATTGCCTTTGAAAATAACTTATGCGTCAATATTTTGGAGCAAAATCAGTCAAAACTATTAGTGTTTTCATAAAAAAAGGATTCTTTTTGCCGAAATCTTCGCAATAATAGCTTTCTCAATATTAAATGATACTCCCCTTCCATCAAGAGTCATTTTTGCGAAGTTTGAGGAAAAGTATTTTTTTGGCCAAATTTGATCAAAAAAGTAAGGTTTACCCCTTGCATTTTTTTTCAATTTTGGCCAAAAAATGAAATTGCTCCAAACTTTCTGGAAAGATGCCCAAGGAACCCTAGATCGCATTTCAATCGTATTCCTGGCGAAAATATTGCATTTGAAAATAAATAGTGCGTCAATATTTTGGAGAAAAATGAGGCAAAACTATTTATGTTTTCATAAAAAAAGGATTCTTTTTGCCCAAATCTTCGCAATTATAGCTTTCTCAATATTAAATGATACTCCCCTTCCATCAAGAGTCATTTCTGCGAAGTTTGAAGAAAAGTAATTTTTTGCCAAATTTGATCAAAAAAGTAAGTTTAACCCCTTGCAATTTTTTCAATTTTGGCCAAAAAATGAAATTGCTCCAAACTTTCTGGAAAGATGCCCAAGGAACCCTAGAACGCAGTTCAATCGGATTTCTGGCGAAAATTGCCTTTGAAAATAACTAATGCGTCAATATTTTGGAGCAAAATGAGGCAAAACTGGTAGTGTTTTCATAAAAAAATGATTCTTTTTGCCGAAATCTTCGCAATTATAGCTTTCTCAATATTAAATGATACTCCCCTTCCATCAAGAGTCATTTCTGCGAAGTTTGAGGAAAAGTAATTTTTTTGGCCAAATTTGATCAAAAAAGTAAGGTTTACCCCTTGCATTTTTTTTCAATTTTGGCCAAAAAATGAAATTGCTCCAAACTTTCTGGAAAGATGCCCAAGGAACCCTAGAACGCAGTTCAATCGGATTTCTGGCGAAAATTGCCTTTGAAAATAACTAATGCGTCAATATTTTGGAGCAAAATGAGGCAAAACTGGTAGTGTTTTCATAAAAAAAAAGATTCTTTTTGCCGAAATCTTCGCAATTATAGCTTTCTCAATATTAAATGATACTCCCCTTCCATCAAGAGTCATTTCTGCGAAATTTGAGGAAAAGTAATTTTTTGGCCAAATTTGATCAAAAAGGTAAGGTTTATCCCTTGCATTTTTTTTCCATTTTGGCCAAAAAATGAAATTGCTCGAAACTTTCTGGAAAGATGCCTAAGGAACCCTAGAACGCATTTCAATAGTATTCCTGGCGAAAATATTGTATTTGAAATAAATAATGCGTCAATATTTTGGAGCAAAATGAGGCAAAACTATTTATGTTTTCATAAAAAAAAATTCGTTTTGCCCAAATCTTCGCAATTATAGCTTTCTCAATATTGAATGATACTCCCCTTCCATCAAGAGTCATTTCTGCTAAATTTGAAGAAAAGTCATTTTCTTGCCAAATTTGATCAAAAAAGTAAGGTTAACAACCCCCTTGCATTTTTTTTCAATTTAAAAAAAAAATGAAATTGCTCTAAACTCTCTGGAAAGATTCACTTACAGCGCTTGGATCAATCGAACAAATAAACCAGTTGTATGTGATAAATGTATCCATTAGGCATCCCTGCAGGTATCGTTATGTTTTTAATTAAGCAGTTTAATTGAGTTTTTGTATCGAATATTTAGAATGTGGATACATGGATGTTGTCTCAAGCCGAAGGCTGTTCAATTTGATTACCTTGTCTTGTTTAATAGTTGTGATATTAAATAGGTGAGAAAAAACCAGGAGTGTTTTCAAAGGAATTTCGAAAGTCAAAGGATGAGTGAAGGCACACAGAATATCAATTATTTACACATTGTTTTAATGTTTTCTAATACATCATATCAGTTAATTCATCCGATTCTAGTCTACTATTCACACAGTTACAATCAAAAGGGATTTTTAAGAGTTAAACTTGTACATATCAATTGACAAATATAATTAACACGATCAATGTATTAATAGTGTATTTAGTACCCTCTTTCAGGTTGTATAGTCAAGTATTTATACATCTGTACATATTAATTTATAAATATATATGAATCTCTAATACATAAATCTTTCGCACAGCCCTTGAATTTTTTTTAAACAACACATCATATTAAGTAGGATTTATGTCTTAGATATTAAGATTAATGTCATAAAATTAGGCTGCACGGGTATATAATTATGATTGATGAGTCTGAACGTACAGTCTCCGAATTCCAATGGTGAAAAGTGAGCCATCACCAAACAATTATCAACAAAACTTTTTTTTTCTGTCCTTTGTTTAGCTTGTCCACCTGACCTGGGTTTTACATCCATTACTTACAAAACAGACAAAGCTAGATAGCTGGATATTACGGGATGTGTGTGGTGTGCAACCGTGAAGAAGGCGAAAAGTAGATTGTGTAGTCACTTTTGTCATATGCAAATTACTTTGCTCGAACTCTCGCGGGTTTAGAGCACCGGAACCTCTGATGAGAAATTACGGAATCCTGGAAGAAACCGAATAGTTCTGTCAAACGAAATTAGAAATGTCTAGCCAAACTGTGCAAGGTAGTGGAGAGATCCGGTGAGCTGTAAAAATGAGCCTACATGAAATACGGACTCATTTGGTTCTATTGCGCATGCCTTAGTGAACATAATTAGGACACTGACAGGTCACGTGTGAGCGTTAGAATCCATATACGGTAGAAGAGACCAGATTTCACAGGAGTCAAAATTTCATATGACACCGGAGCACAGTAATGGTTTGTGGGTAGATTGATATGCAAATACAAATTTGCATATATCGATAGAAAGCCAACTGAGGGCGCTGTGACGATGTGTAGTAAAGCGATGTACCTTAGGTTGTTGACATAAGTTAACATCTTCCTATAAAATTTTTCCCCACAATTTTCAATTTTAAGACTGAAGTGAAGCTACTAAAAAGCTTCATTGAAGTGAACATTATATTGTAGGTAGCCAGCAAATTTCGTCAACAGCGCCCTCATTTGCACGAAAATAGTTATGGACTGTGGCTCTTTTTAAAGTCAGAGGACTGATGGTGCACCAGTGTATATAATATCTTACGTTATAAGTATATAATACTTAATTATTAAAAAAACACTACCAGTATGAAGAAAATATAATCATTGCAATGAGGTTTTTTCTCCAATCATCATTGTTGACAGATTTAACAATAAAATAGTCTAAATAATGCAAGTAATATTTTAATCTGTAAAAAATAAAGAGGACAAAAACATTAATACCGTCCGTCTAGAACCGGACACCGCGGAACAAACTTTCTGGGTTTATTGCTTTTAAGCGAACCTCGGCATTCGAGTTATTAAGCAAAGCGAGTCTTTATAGAGCGAAACCATGATATTGTGTTTGTAACCGAAACAAAATAAAATTGTAAATATCAAAAGTAGTAATAGTTTTATACTACGTGGCCTCGGTATATAATAATATAGTCTTTCAAAAATTCTAATTTTCTTTATTTGGATTTTTGAGAATGTGAAAACGTACAGCACATTCTAATGTGGCAATGGAAAAGCCAAACATTTGAAATATGTTCCTACAGATTTCAATTCTTATGTTCACGATGGCTTTCATTGAGTGTTTACGATTGTTTTCTTGGCAACTGATACTATATGTCAAAGACTGACATACGTCACGACTAAAATATCAAAAATATTCATGCTATTCTGATTAGTTTTTCTTTTTTATTATGTGTGCTATAATGCAGTACAAAATGAGTTGCCCGAAAGTTTTAACACATTCGAAAATATCTACGAAAATATAAAATAAATATCTCATTTGTAATAATACTTACGTAAATTAGTTAAAATGTTAGCCATGCCGATTTCTGAAGTATTATCTAATATCAATACGAAGACTAACTCAGCTTAAACAACGGCCGGCTGAATGCTTTACCGTAAGTAGTTTTGATATTATGAAAAAATATTGTTTGGGAGTTAAGTTACATGTATATAATATGGTGTATTTGTATAGAATTTTAGAGAGCACTGTATAAAAATGTTAACCACTGGAAATTGTTATTATTTAGCACAATTATGAAGTAATAAAAATTAGATTAACAATTGTAGATCGAACGAGTGTTAAACGTTGTGACATCATTGTTTTATCTAATTTGCTTAACTTAATTAACTCCCCGACATGACATTTTTTAATTGACCATCAATCACGCAAACTCACAGTATTTAGTATCACTATCACTATTACGCTAGACTATGTGGAATAGTAACCAACTAGTTTCTCATGAATTTAATTTGTTTAAATTGGACTTCAATATTTCTTCATCATTACAAGAGACGTAGAAATTTTCGTCGTTGTTTCACAAAAATCACCTGAAATTTTGGCAGGCACACGAGAAGACGTTAATACTTTGGGGTGCCTATCACTACATACGTCAATTTTATTTTCTATAAAAACAGCGCTTTCAAAGCACTCACTTTCGGGTATTCTGTGCTGCCCTGCACATGGTTAGAAACGTATTCAGCGCAACAAACATTTCAGCCGAAAAGGAAAAGCATTTCACGTGGCGTTTGTTTGATTTGTTCTTAGCTGTACTGCACTGTAAAAGCGTGATTTCTAGTAACAAGGATTTAAGCTAAAATGACAATTGTGAGGATTCCGCCACAGGGGGAATAGGGCAAAAATGATTTATACCAAGAGAAATTGCCCCAATGACGGGTATCTTGGATTCGACTGTCAAACAAAATCCCATTCCGAAGTGAAAAACCCCAAACTCAGATTTGGTTCGGGAGGGGCCACAAGCCTTCTTCGTAAAAAACAGCTACTTGTTCACATCAATTACGATTGGAAAAAAAAATAAAAATCAGAAAATTGATTATCAGTTTGGTATAAAATTGTTACCAAACTATCTCTTTAAAAAGTTCAATATTCACGACTGCACTGTAAGTACCTTATCTACGGGACTTGCACACAGTGGCCACTTTGAGTAGCTGGCCGCATTATCAAGGTGACCAGGGTGGTAGGTGTGACCGTCATTAAGCTGATGTTGAGTTTATATCGGTTAATTCGGTAATGAGTTTCGATTAGTCGATTATCAAATACAAAATGAAGCCGACAATGGAAAGGCAGCCTTCTGAATGGCCAGCCTTAATTAATGAACAAAGCGGTTTTTTGTTTTCGATCAATCGAACTCAGACTATGTAACCAAATAACCGAAGCAAAGATTGATAAATGTAATACCGACTAAATCGGGTTTCTCATCACATCGCACTGTTGGGCATCTCCCTGGAGTTGTCGCTGTTACTGGTCCGAGCGGGCGTGTAGACGTACATGGGCCGGCTGTGACCGCGGTGCGTCCCGCTGGCTCCCTCCGACATATCGGTCAAGTTGGTGTCAGTCCGCAGTGTGGATCTCCCATAGCGTGAAGGCCTCCAGGACTTGCAACACCGCAGCTTCGTCGCCATCCAATTGATGACTCTAAATCGTCTGCTTGGATTTTTGTTTTATTAAGTAGAAATAGTAGGGTTGGTTTTTGTTTCAGTTCACTCTGAGAGAAACACACACGGAAAACAAGGAACAGAACCACGATCAGACAAAACGATGGACGCTAAAAACCAAAAAATGAAATCAAAGTGATGATCCTAAAACACGAAGATGCTCAGACAATGAAACAACAACACACAAGCACGTCCATATCACATCTACATTGTTAGCAAATACTGAGTAACCCCAAAAAAGTGTAATGACCAGTTCGGCTCTGTGCATATGTTTTTAAATGGTAAAAGTTCAACAAAACACTGAAAACAGCTCCCCAAAGTTGATTAAACATTTCTTTGGATTCTTTCAATTAAATGCTTTGCAGGGCACATGTGCCTGCTATCTGCGCGACAAGATTTTTTGGTGGGGCCCTTTTTGCTTAAATTCTAATTCCCAAGCCCTTTTAAGATACCCAACTGACTTTTATATGTCTGTCAATGTTTACCGCTCATAGCAGACTATCTTCGAAACGCATTTTGTTGCACATGAATATTCAATTTGGTACGTTAGTTGCCTTCCACCTCAGTGACCCAAATTGAAATCCCAACCCGACCAACACTTGGATTGGTTTTCTGTCTGTGTTTCATATCATAGGCTTCCCTTGGAACAACCAATCCATGTGATTTACCTCCAACCCTGCAATTGAATATTTCTTTATCAACAAACTTCCCTCGCTAGGTCTGCTCAGCTTTCCAGTAACAGTGCTGGAACGTTTGAGGAACCATTGTTGTCACTTCATGTACTAGAACAAAAATAGCTTAAAATAATGAAAAAAAATTGTTAGAAAGGAAACTCGGAAAAGATTTCTTTACCTGAGTTCCTGACAAATGTTGGTGCTGAACAAGCCATAGATGAAGGGGTTGATGGCACTGCTTAGGTACGGTAGGTTCTGAATGAAGGCCGAGGCACGGAACGCTGTGTTGAGATTAGCTTCGTCAATGACGATGACACGAAACGCGTCCAGTGTGTAGAAGATGGAGAAAGGGCACCAGCATAATATGAACGCTGAAATCATAAACAAATCAAAAGTTACGTATTCTGAGTCCTAATATAGAAAGGAGGAAACTCCGAGGTTTCAGAGACTTTTCACCTTGGAGAACTTCGAAACAGGAGATGAGATTTGAAGGTCTGCATGGTAAAGATACAAGAGTAAGTTTACGAATGGGTTTGGTTGGGGTTAGTTGTTTGGTTGACTTACCGACGATAATACACACTGTCATCTTAAGTGTCTTGATCTTTGCTTTTGGAATGAGCCCTCTAGAGCTGGCTCTGTGCTTCATCTCCTTGGAGGCTGCAAGACGGATAAATATAGAACTTGAATAAATTGATTTCTAAATCAGACTTTAGATACCCCCAAACTGCAAGGTGTTTCTGTTGCATAATGATGCAGCAAATCCCCAGCCACTATCACTGTATAAACGATGCCTTGAGACGCCCTCTAGTTGTGTTTATATGTCTGTGGTTGAACCGCCCTCTTGTGACGGTTGAAAACGACCTCTTGTGCCGATTGATGCGTCCTTTTATGGTGCTTAATATTGCCGTCTTGCGGTGGTTGAAACAAGACAAACCAACAATGAATTTTAAAACTAGAGGTAACTTCTAGTATATTTCTAACGTGACTTACCTGCTTTTCCCTTCACCTTGTCCGGTTTTTGGCCCATCATATACTTGCTACGCCTCCAAATTGACACCACCATGAAAATATAACACGTGCTAATAACGATGAGAGGGATGTAGAAGAATCCTGATACAACGTACAAAGTGTACACCTGTCACACAAACGAAATAAAACCCACAGTTACCAAGATGGAGGCATGGGCGTCGAGGGGGGGGGGGGGGCAAGGGGGGGGGGGAGCGCTTGACAAAGAAATTTAAAAAGAGGTGCGGAGTGATATTGCTGTTAATGTAACCCACATCTAACATCATGGACGTCCGCAGGGGTGTCAATGGGGGTGGGGTCGGCAAATTCTCCCCGCCCGTCCTAAAAAATAATTATAAATGGAAAATATGCTGAAGAAATGATTTTTGGGAAATAATGTGCTTTGCCCCCCTCTAGAAAAAATTCTGGCGACGCCCATGGATGGAGGTGAAAGTATATACAGCGAATTTATGTACACCAGTCAGATGCCGTGTCATTGGCTTGATATGGCCACATGATCATACGGTTTTATGACTACAGAGAGGATAAGGGGTTGCTGGGGTACCATACCTTATATTGCCAGGAGCCTGGCTGGAGCGGTGGCGGGTAACAGTGAGTGGTTCCCCACCCGTCCATCTTGGCTTCGAAGACTATGGCTGATGGAATGGAGGCGAAGAAAGGGGCGATCCATGCTGTGCCCGCCATTAGGTTTGCTCGCTTGCCTGCAATAGGTTTAAATAATATAGGGCCATAATTGATCGAATGGGGGCGCTGTTGTGACGATATTTTGGAGCATAAACATGAATCCCACATATTGACGAATTACTTTTTTTTTGTCAAGAGTCCTTTTGGACCACAGGTGCTTAGTTCCTGCCTTTTCTTGACATCATAAAAGGTGATATTTCCACCGTTTCACCAGAAAACAGCGTCGTTACATCGGCCAATTGCTCAACGCTATTATGGACAGCTGTCACTAAATTTCATTTGAATTTTAATTGTGCATTGCCTTCATAGAGCTGTCCTGTGACGATCTGGTGATCTAGACAATTACATTCATATGTAAAAGTTGTAAAAGACTGAAAGCAACAAGCAATACTTGGCAAATTTACATCTGCTCAGTTAGTATATGTCTAACTCACGTTTACAATTTAAAAAGCGTTAAAAGACACCGTGAATAAATGATTACACCTAGGACAGCTTTTTGGCGAGCAACATTCTTTCCCCGTTATGATAACTTAACAATGACGTTTCAGTACGCTTTTGGGTTTGGTGTTGCCTATAAAGGTTGTACAGTGCTGCGAACTTGGAGGTCGTGGTTGAGTTTAAGATTGACAATGCAAGGTTTGACGCCTTGTAAAGGGGCTTGTTGAAGTTGTTGATTGACTTGAAATACATACCACTTCCGGAGAAGTCCATCGGAAACACAATCGCGAAAAATCGGTCCAAACTTAGTGCAACAAGTTGGAACGAAGAGGCATTGATTACGTACGCCTGTGGTACAAAAGGAAAGAGAATTTATCTGAAACAATAAAAGTCACACAGTAGTAAATTCAGACGGTAGTTAAACAAATAAAACGATTTTCCTTGCAACACTTAGCATATCAAACTAAACCAAAGAAACTCACCAAATGCTCGTGTAGGATTTTTTACGCATATCTTTGTTAGGTTCACGAGGCATACAGAGAGCAAATTATGCAACAAATACCCTGTGCAAAAGATTTTGTATTATTGTTTGTGTAGTAAAGCCTTGCAGATTTATCTAATTATTTTCAGGAATGAATGACTGTACCTGTAAGTAGCGTATAATCTTGCAGAACACAGTTCCTCCATAGAATTCTCCCATGTATTTGTATATGATCTCATACCCAGCGTTTATGACGCCGACCAACAGATCTGTGGAATTTACACATACGATTCGATTACTAGAGCAAAGATTAGACAATGCAGTTTACAAAATATGGCCTTTACAGTAGCCCAGAGATGGAACATGGCTACTAAGGGGGTTTTAATTGTCTTGCAACATGACCAATATTATTATCATTAACATTTTCAGTGGAAAGGAGCTAGAGTGATTGTTTTTGAATAACATAATCACGAAAGGGTGATGAAAACGAAATGTGTCTTACAAGTGATTTCAGTCCGTGGTCAAACGAATAGCTATGACACTCAAGTGAATCAAGATATCAAGGGGCTTTCATTTGTCATTGTTTACCCAGTGTCACATCTTGTGATTGTCTCGTAACTGGCATGTGACATGAATTGTAATTGATTTATGATAGACTTAAGGTAGACTTGTGATTAACTTGTGACTTGACTTATGATTACCTTGTGACGTACTAGTGATTGGCTAGCGATTAACTTGTGACTTGACTTATGACTGACTCATGATCAACTGGTGATTGACTTGTTATGTACTTATTACTTGACTTATGATTGAATTGTGTTGGACTTATGACTGGCCTTGTGAAAGTTTTAACCTCTGTTAATTTAAATTTAAAGGTGATACATACTGCACAACAGCGACTAAAAGCAATGCCAAATCGTTTGTTTTTGCTATCTCCGTCAATTTTACATAAAGTAAGAAAATGACCTGCGGCGGCGAGATGAGCAACAAAGAAATTCAGTCTGGACTTCTTGTGTCTGATGACAAAAACTGCCAGGAGCACTGTAGAGTTCCCAACGACTGTCAGCGCAACCAATACCCACAAGACAATCAGCTGAAGATCCTGGAGGACATACCCAAAAATGAAAAGATGATAGATTTAGGAACAATCACACCACTTTCTAATTGTGCATGGCTGGCTCCAGGCTTTAAGTCCCCATATGGTTTCCTTTTCATTCGCAGTCTCTAATTACAGTTCTCTTTTTAGGTACATGTTCTGTAATCTTTTATCTTATGTGCGTCTCATCAGAGGCGAATTCCCGTGGTGAGGTTAATGGCTTGAGATGATATTTTATATGGGGATGATTTAAGAGCTGTTTTTGAAGTCTTTGCTGACCCAAGAGGGAAATTCGCTGCAGGAAACCGAGGTGACGTTGCAAACGAGTTGCTTTCTTTAATTCTATAGACTAGTTCGTTCTTGGAAAATCACTAATCAACTTTGCCGGGTCGATTGCTACCTTCCATAAATTGGATTTTAGACAAAACAAATTGCATTCGCTCGTTAAAAGACTGCAGTTGGCAAAACATCTTGTGGGGGTTCCATCTTTACGAAAGGGATATAATGAAATGAAGTTTAGTGAATCCAGGAAATGACAGATCTTACCCCATAAAACGAGATTCTATTCTCCCCATCAGCAAAAGGGTTCTCCGTTGTCGAAGCGTTAAGGGCGCCCTCTGTCGACAGGTCTACCCCTGCAGGGTTTGCCATCACTGACACGCCTCCTCCGCTCGAGTAGTTCATCAACCGCTCGTAGGATGTACTCGTTGCTAGACTCGTCATACCTTCTAATACTCCGTTCAAGCCTTCAATGCAAATCCTGCCGAGCAATTTAAAATGTTTTTCTTGCCACCTCTGTCGCCCTGGCGTCCGTCAAAATCGTCTCATTTGCCACCAAAAGGGCCTTTAGCAATATCCTGATTTCTTTCAATCGTAGATCCGTTTGAGCTTCAAATTTGCTACGCTTCTTATCACATTAGTTTGGTTAGCGTTTTTACCCGTTGGCCGTAGTGTCCACTTGTTGATGCATTTTCTGAAAGCACATAAAAGAAAGGACAATAAAATATTAATATCTCCATTACCTTTTAGTTTATCCATCATGTTTAAATCATGCAAACTTTGTTCAGTTGCAGATTCTTAACTTGTTCATGTCCAAAACATCCAATAAATGCAACGTCAGTAGAGATATTTTGCTGGTGTGGTATGAAATCTGCTCATTCCTTGCTCGTAGACTGCTCGGTATGATCCGAGACAAAAATGTCACACAGAATATCAGAGCTGGCAGCTGCAGCTTTGGTTGAATATAATCAGGTACCTGCAAAATCTTGAATAAAACATGGATTGGAATGAGAACATTAATTTTATTTTATTGAAACTGGACTCGCTGTTGCTCTGCTTTTACCCTCCGTCCATGTTTCTCGGGAAATTGAATCACACAATCGAATGCTTGAATTCTTCTCTTACAATTTGTGTCCTTGTCGTCATTATATCCGTTCTATTTTTTTTAGCAATAACTTGGACAAGCAACCGCTCCGGGCAGGGGAAACGCGCCGAAGAAATTCAAAACTACGGGGTTATTGGCAGCGTGTTTTGACACGTTCGAGGCGTGGGGCTTCGGCGGTCTTGCTCTCCCTCGGACACGGTCGGTGGTAACCTCATATCACGGCCGCTTGATTTCCCTTAGCTGGCTTTTATAGATCTCCAGTCACAACACACCTTGAACCGCTTATGCATTTCTCGATATCTCAGCCAATTTGGAGAACAACTCGTGGATAACAAACGTCTGGTGTCGTTTTGGTGCGCGGTGTAGGCGCACAATAAGAATGCTGACCTAATAAAAACAACCTCTAGTCTGTGCTGGCTATTTGCGGCGGGTGTCTTCTTCAAAAGATCTTCAAGCGCGAAGACAGCGTCTCATTCCTCATAATTCTAAAGGCAATACCGGGGATCCTATATACAATTTATTCCGAGCAATTTAAAGACGTTGTCAGTCTGTAAATGCCATATTTTTGTTGAATGAGGCCGCTGTTTTGTCTAGTTTATTTGAAAATAAGGCCGCACCCTAAGTGATCCGCTATGGCTTGCTATAACACATGGGTCTAAAGGAGGTGGCCGCAGCCGCTTTCCATAGGCGCGTGCGTAATTTCCAGCAAGTCATTCGGACACGGCGTAACCTTGGAACACGTCTACTTTGAACCACAAAATGGCATATTCTGTATTTTGGCAGACATTTGCATCATTTAATGATGGTGTTTGCACTGCCTAATATGGAAAAGTAGCAAATGAAACTGCGGGACAACATACTATTATAGCCCAGTCTGTAAGCTTTTGGCGCCAAAAATCCACAAACGTCTGCTAATGGCGCACTGCGAGATTTGCTTGCCCCTGCACTAGACACTTGCCAATCTAACCGGTTTTGACAGAGCGGGATTATCGCACGGTAAAAAAAAAGTCTGGGGAAAAATCATCCTTAATTCCACTGGTCTTAACAGCAAAAAACAAAAAGCTTGAAAATCTCTCAAAAGAGACATACGCTCGCATAAAAACGATAGCTCTTAATTGCTAGTGTGCAACAGAAGAGTTATGGCGTGGGTTTTGGGCATTGTTCGCTTCCAGGTTCACCAGGAGGCTATTTGATTAGAAAGATAGCTACCAGGGTTTGCGCTGATTGCTTGATCGAGGGGAAAGCTTCGCGCGGAGAACTCCTCCTCCGAACGCGAGTTCTATGGCAACCCTAACAATAACAGACGGCCGCTGCCCCCAGATAGGTGATGGACTTGGTAGTTGATTTAACAAGGGAATTTCACCCAATCAGCAAAGATACAGTTTGCTTTCAGCTGGCAATTTTAATCCGCGAAAAAGCTGAACCAGCGATGATTTCAAACCGAACATTTGACAAGATCAATTCGATATTTGGATATTTTGATATTGGTTTAAAAGTATAATTTAAATGATAGTGGAGGTACCGTGTATTATCAGAGGCAGAGATGGAAGCACCAACGGAAGTTTAGCAGTAATACATGAAGCTGTGTCTTTTGCAGCTCAGCAAAAGAAACATCGCCCTAACCCTGTAAATGTATACATTAAACATCCAACATATCCACAACTCATATCTGACACCATACAGACGAAGGCGGGAAAATAGGGATGACAAATAGTTCACAATTTCATCTGCGTCAGTGACTATCTTTTGACCCAATAAAACAGAAAACGGGAGCAAAACGTGAGGGATCAATGACAACGGGGAGAGGGACAACACTGGCTAGTTAGGTCAAGAAGTGAACAACTCGCATCATTGCAAGGTTTATAGTGGCAATTATTGTTTCAGTGACATTTACACGGTGTCCAATATCGGTCATTTCAAAAAGAGCAAATATCATTGACGCTTTTCCATGCATATAAACGGTGTTGTTTACGTTCGTAACGACCGGCAAGTGCGTTTTATTGCACCGACAAGGCTGGAAATTAGTGTCATTTTTGTCCCGCTTTGGGATTGATGGTGCCACTTTGAAAAAAACGAATTTCAAGCAGAGATGGTTTTAAGTCAACTTGTAAAACGTAGTGTATGGAAAGGTGTTGATTTATTGATTGAGCGAGTCCCTTAATACAAATGCCCTCCTTTTTTACAAGTTACACTTTTAACCAAACGCAGCATGTTTAATTGCAAATCGGTTAGCCTAGTTGACACAAGTTACTCCCACGAGAATACATCAATTTGGCGGCCCCTATACCTCGATATTGATTTCAGACTTCTAAAAACCACGACCCAGATGCATCACTCAGTACTACTTATAGAAACAAAAATACATTGCCCTAAAAAAGTGCATAGAGTAATGAGTAACAGCAACACGAACCCAAAAATGGTAACATTACTCCAGCGCAGGTCTTGTATACCACGGTTCGTATTACTAAAGCCTGAATAACAGTTGGCTTTCTTTTTGTCTGAAATGGAGAAACATGGCCGGCCTTCAGGAAATGTATTGTAATAATATCCGGGACCTTTAGGCCCTACCCATGATACACCAGTACTGCGCATGCGGGTTACAAAAAGTGTGCACAAGTGATTGCTCTGTAAGATAATACTATTTGTTGCCCTTGTGAACTCAAAGATGTGTAAAACCAAAACCTCAACACTGATCAAATGTCTGTATTCATTACTATAATCCTTATTCATATAATGCATGCTGGTTAAGCAAAGAGCAATATATCGGCCTATACATGTACTTTAATTTAAGACTTCGAAGAAGCGATATGTTTCATGGCGTCCGAGTTTACACTTAACACTGAGGAGCGTTGATGAATAACAAATACAGCCTGGCGCATGCGCACTCATGATAATTGGACATACTCTTCTTCCTTTGAGGTATCCTACGTTAGAACACGTACCCGGATGCAAGCTGATCTGGAGAACAAATTCAGCGCGGGGCAATGCGAAAAAATTCTGTCCAGCGATGCATTTTTTTGGGTTGTTATTATTGACCCTATATGTGAATTCATATAGGGCCTAAGCCTACGATCGGCGCATGCGCACTCAGGACGATTGAACTTACGATTTCCTTCATTTGAAGTATTCTCTTTAAGCAGACTTATTCAATCTCCACCAAACAAATTCATCACGGATACAAAGTGAGCATGGGGCTATTCGCGTCAAGGGGTGCAATTTCTAATAAGACGCCAGTTGAATTCAATCGAGGCTCGGCGCATGCGCACTCAGGATGTGTATTCAACCTCTACTTAACGAAAACAAACTCATTTCGGTGACAAATTCAGCACGCCAATTACATTCTGCGTCCAGGGGCGCATTTTCTTAACCACCACCACAACTATCACAGTTGAAGCGCCGCCCCCCCCCCCCCCCGCGGGGGTTTCCAGCCGCCCAAGTTAGCGCGGCAAAATTGACTCTTAATTCCCGCCAAATTTCGTTACGGGAGTCACGTGCCGGAGCGCGTCGAAATCCCTCGCTGACCGAAACACAAGCAATTTGTTACATTTGGCTGTTGATTTTTATGGTTATCCGGGGAGTAGTTTGCTCGGGTACTCGACCTATTCGGCACCCCCTCCGGGAACTGAGCGGTATGCAACTGCCGTGTTCCCGGCACCGTGGCCTGGGGGTTGTCCCCAATGGCCGAAAACTCAAGAACTGAGGCCAGTGTAAGTGGAAAAGAAAAGAAATCAACAAAAAACAAAACCAGGAAATCTCGACGATTTCTGCGCTGGCGTCCCATTAACAAAAACACCCCGAAGTGGCCGGTAAGAGGAACAGGAAAGGTTAGGCTACCCCTTATTCATACTAATCTTACGACTGCAAACAACAAACAGATAGCGGCACGGTCAGAAGTGTGGCCAGGAAGTATAACAGGTGGAATGAAGATCGGGAGTTCCCCAAAGTATCTGACGTGAATTCTACCGATAGAATATCTCAAATAGGCATACAAACACCATTTCCATGTATTTACTATTTATAAAATAACAGAATATCCCATCATTATTAACGAAACCCCTGCTAATCAAAAATATTCACCAATAATATGTTTGAAAAACATATGAAAAGCAAGTATGGCTTCAGACTAGTGACATAAGCTTGGCCTTTCATATTTGAGTTGCTGTTGTTTTCTCAGGGACTAATAGGTTTATGATGCGCATCACGTTCTAAAGCTACCAACTCCGTGACCAAAAACAAAGATGACAGTTTTGGGCGCTTCTTTGTCGTTTTCTGACAAATGTTTGGTTTGTAAAGGGTAATGCAATTAGGTTCTATAATGATTAAAAATGTGTATCTTAACCAACACGAGACAGTGAAAAACAGGTACAAAAGCACTTAACTGAAGTATATGACAACGTCCATTTTGCAGAGAACATTTACGTTGCATCATGGGATAGACTGCGTTACACAAAAATCCCCATTGGTTGGTGCAAACCGTCCCACAATGCTAAGCAACATACACTCCACAGCATACTTCCAATAGCCTATAGTAAACTGGTGCATGGCGGAACCATTAGAGAAATTGCTGATCAGAAAATTTGTCCATTTTA